AAACTGTATACCTTTCTCTCATCAACAGGGATGTAAAAACCAGCATTGTGGCATAGTTGGTAAAGCTAGTATCATAGGAGATGGGCACTGGTTCAACTCCTGGCTGCTCCACTTCCAATCCAGCTTCCTACTAACGGCATGGGAAAGCAGCAGAGGGTGGTCTAAGTGCTCAGGCTTCTGCATCGAGTGGGAGACCTGGCAAAGCTCATAGCCTTGCCCTGGCTCCGCCCTGCTCATGCAGCCATTTGGGGAGTGAACTAGCAAATGGAAGATCTCCTTTTCTCTCTCTGAAGCTCTGTCATTCAAATAAATAAATAACTCTTTTAAAAACAAACAAAACCACAAAGGTATAGCCCTGCCACATTATAAGTAGTGTTTCTCACTGTTCCAATTTCCAAATTTCCTGAAAGATACAGCATAACTTAAAAACACTGCCTTTAAAAAAATAATTCTGGGGGCCCAGAGCAGTAGCCTGGCGACTAAAGTCCTCACCTTGCATGCCATATGGGTACCAGTTCATATCCTGACGACCTTGATTCCCACCCCCGCTCCCTACTTGTGGCCTGGGAAAGCAGTCAAGGAGGCCCAAGGGGACTCTGCACACGTGTGGGAGACCCAGAAGAGACTCCAGTTTCATGGCTTCAGATCAGATCAGCTCCAGCCATTGCAGCCACTTGAGGAGTGAATCAGAGGATGGAAGATATCTCTCTCTCTCTCTCTCTCTCTGTCTCCTTCTCAATATACATCTGATTTACCAATAAAAGTAAAATATTAAAAAAATAATAATTCTGGGGTTGGCATGTTGACTCAGCAAGCTAATCTAATCCTCTATCCGCAGCACTAGCATCCCATATGTGTGCTGGTTCTAGTCCCAACTGCTCCACTTCCAATCCAGCACCCTGCTTATGGGAAAGCAGGGGAGGATGGCCCAAAACCTTGGGACCACACACCCATCCGGGGGACCCAGAAGCTCCTGGCTCCTGGCTTTGGATTGGTTCCGTTTTGGCAGTTGTAGCAGCTTGGGGAGCAAACCAGCAGATGGAAGATCTTTCTGTTTATCCTCTCTGTAAATGCCTTTCAAATAAAAATAAATAAATCTTTTTAGAAAATTCCACTAAATGAACTTTTATTATGTAGGATATGTGAGTTCTGTAGTTTGAATGTAGCCTCAAAAATTCACGTGTTGAAACTGAATGCCCAAACTCATATGCTAGTATCTGAAGGTGAGACCTTTGGGGAAGAATTAAGAATGGATAAGGACAGCAGGGCGGGGCCTCAGGAAGCCTTCGAGGCTTTAGAAAAAGTGGAGGAGAGACACCTGCCATCTCCATAAGGTGGCCCTCTATTGGGCTGTCATGCAGCAAGCAGGCCCTCACCAGATGTCCCATTGGATGTAAGCAGCACGGTCCCGTGTTTTCCATCTTCCCAGCCTCCAGAACCCTAAACCAAACAATGTTTCTGACATTACCGTCTCAGGTATCCTGTAAAAGCAAAAGAAAGCCAACTGTGCCAACAGGTGACCTTAGCTCAATGCGATCTTGAGTCTCTATCACACACAAGCAGGCAAGCTGATGCTGACCCTTACCCTCCACGTCCTGAGCCTCAACACTCGAGCCTGCAGCACAGCCATGCTTGCTTCCCAAGCAAAAAAAAAAAAAACAGGATTGATGTTTGCTCTCTCAGTTCTCCTTATCTTCCTCTTCCTGTCTGAGGGGATGCCCCCTAAACAAGATGTTCCTAATGTCCAGGCAAACGGAATTCCACTTGTCAGCTACAACTAGGAGAGTCCATGTCAGCTCAGGAACTAGGTTGCTTCCTGGAGGACAGAACACACCCAACCCTGCAAACCTTACAAGTACACACTGTGGTGGCCCTGGGCCTGCCTCTCGAGAACTGTCCCCTGGTAAATGGGGAACAGGACAGACAAGCACCCGTGCTCTCTAACTGTGCCTCTTCTCTCTTCACTCTTCACCTATCCTGGAACTGAACCGAGAAAGACTATGTACCTCACTCATAGGGGCCAGCACAGGGACACAGCAAGTTAAGCCTCCACCTGTAATGCCAGCATCGCATATGGATGTCAGCTGGGGATCCATCCAGTTGTTCCACTTCTGATTCAGCTCTGGGAAAGCAGTGGAAGATGGCTCAAGTGCCTGGGCCTCTGAACCCATATGGAAGACCTAGAAGAAGCTTCTGGTTTCAGACCACCCCAGCTCTGGCAGTTGTGACCATATGAGGAGTGAACCAATGGATGGAAAACCTCTCTGTCTCTCCCTGTCTCTCTTTCTCTCTGCAACTCTGCCTTCCAAAAAAATAAATCAATCTCTTGAAACTTGTCTAAATATACAACATTACTTTAAGGCCACAGATCACTGTCAATAGTGACCAGGTTGCCAGAACATAACTAGAGATATGGAATGACATAAACAAAATCCAGTTTTCATCTGGGAGATGGACAAGTGTGGAAAGACGTCAACAATGCTTGGTGGCAATAAACCTGAAGAAGTTCTTACTTTTAAAAAGCCAGGTGAATCATTACCTTGGCAGCATTCACAGGGGCAGGGCGAGAGTGGGGGAGGGAGCAACAGGACGTGTTGCCCTAACAACAGCAAAGGAGGAAATCCCCTACCACAAGATGCACCAAGAAATGAGGGCACAAGTTCAATCACCAGACCCCCAGGACAAGCCAGGAAACCAGACCAAGTTCTGAGACCTCTCCCTCCACACCTGTCCTAGCTCATTCTTCCATCCTTCTCTATCAACCCAAAGCAGGGGCTCTAAGAAGGCCAGTGTAAGCAGCTAAGTCAAACTCTATCCTCTGACCACTAATTAGCTCCCAGAATCGAAATACAGAGGAGCAGGCACTTGACTTAGGGGGCCAGACACCTGCTTCCCCTTTTGGGGTATCTGTGTTTGAGTCCTGGCTCAGCTTCCTATCCCAGGATTCCTGCTAATGCGGGCCCGGGGAGGCAGCAGGTGGTGACAAGTCAGGTGCACGGGCTCCACTGCCATCCTCCTGGAACTCAGCTTTGATTCCTACCTTCACACTGGAATTAAACCGATGGATAGGAACGCTCCTGTCTCAGACACAAATCCAAATTAAGTGTTTATTAGCATGCCCTGAGCACCAGAAGCCTGTCTCCAGGTGGGCATTCATTTCCTGTGTACTCCACCATCTCCTCTGCACGGGCTTCAGATCCACACCATCTTCTAACCCACCAGGCGCCAAATTCCTCAAACAATAAAGACTGTGAGCCCATAAGGGCACGGTTAGGCTCCATGTTCCTCCTCCATGCTGCAGCCCCAGCACTTCGCACAGTGTCTGGCATACATCTTGCAACGCATAAGTGCTTGTTGCTGCATGAAAACAAGAAGGAATAAACCAACGCTGTACAGACAGGAAGTATGTACCCTGGAAAGTTAGGCTCGCTCCTGACCTGAGGACACAGCCCCAAGCGGGGGATCCTTGAAGAAGGTTCTAAAGGGCTCCAGTTTCGGTTTTACCAAAAGGCAAACAAACTGGAAACGGGTACAACAACCTCCTGGTTCAGACTGTGGGCTCCCCGGCAAGCCATGCAGTGACCCTGGGCAAGCTTTCTCACGTATCTGGCTGGTCTGAAGGGGAAGAGTGGGGACTGTAACAATATCTCATTCAGATGTCTGTTTATGAAATGAAACCAAGACAGTCAGGCCCTTAGCACAATGGTTCCTGCTCAGTAAATGCTCAAGGATTTTGTCTCAATACCACCATTCTCCTTTATGAAATACCGCCTCCACTGAGGTGTAGCCCTCAGCAACTCTGGGAAAACATGTCTGCTTGAATATGCATGTAACTAAAAACGCAAAGCCTAGAAACCCAGGAACTTAGTGCCAGGCACAAGTCCCTACTTGCCTCCACTAGATGGTGACAATTTGGGTGTGGAATTTCCAAAACAGAGAGAGAGAGAGAGAGAATCACTCATCCATAGATTTCTTTTTTTAAGCTAAAGAAATCCAAACAGCAAGAAATGGATCAATCTCCAAGAAGAATACGAAGACACTTCCCATCTCCGCCGAGCTCATTTAAACCCAAGGCTGATCCCACTGCACTTCTGAACAGGGGCACGGGGACACACGGGGACACACGGGCCCCGGTGAGCAACAAAAGCCAGCCCGCTGCCGGCCACCCGGAGAAAACTCCCTGCGCACAACAATATTGCAAGCCTCCCTGCGCCCGCTCAGAAACTTCCCCCTTACCCGCGGGAGCCTGGCCCCTAACGCCGCTTTCCTTCCAGATCCTGCTGCCCCTTCTCCTCCCCGCCTCCTTCTCGGCCCAGGTAACTTTTTCCACTTCCGCAGCTGCACAGCCACAAGCCATGCGGGCCGAGCAGACCCACAAAGAGTATGTGGGCATGCAAGGAAAGAACAGGAAGTGGTTTCCGCAAGTTTCGGCCCGGATAATAAAAGTTTTTCAAGACGGAGGCGCACACCAGGCGCAGGGGCTCCGGGCAGCTTCAATGCGCACGGACGCACACGCCGGCCTCTGACTTCCTCAGGAAATGCACCTTAGCCGAGCCGGCCCTGCCCCAGCGCTGCACCCGCCGCTCAGCTCGGCTGGCTCGGCTTTGAGAACAGCAATCAAGGGCCTCCTGCCCGCCGCCTCTGCATCCAACTCGCCGAGGGTCCCGACTCCCGTTCGGCACGCGAGCAGCGACGCGCCCCGCAGCACCAGACACCAAGTTGCCGGCGGCAAGCCCGGGATCAGGTGTCCTCCCCGGTCCCCCACACAGCTCACCCGCCGCCTCGCCAGCCCTACCCGGCCGGGACACGCCAGCGCGGGGCTCCCGGCGGCGGGGTGACAAGCGGGCCGGCGCGCAAAGCAACCGGCCCAGACTGCGACGAGCCGTCCCACCCGGACCGTGCGCTCCCAAGCTCCTAGCCCTGACAACCGGCCGGGCGCACCGAGTGACACAATGCCGGCCTCGCCAACCACCCAAGCCCGGGCCGCGGTGACAACTCACCGGCAGAACGGGGCGCGGAGACCTGAGGGAAGAAGGGGAAGGAGGCGCTCGCAGCTGCCGCGCTGCAGGATCCTCTCCGCCGCCCGCGCGCACCCGCAGCCCTCCGGGATCGAGGCGAGGCCCCCCGCGCGCCCTTGTCCGGCCGGCGGTGAGGGAGGAGGAGGAGGAGGAGGCGGCGGGCGGGAGACGGCCAGGCGGTCGCCGGCTTCGGAGAATGGAACGCGGCGGCGGCGGAGCCAGCGTCACTGGCCCAGCTGTACCGGGCGGCTGGGCGGGAGGAGTCCCCGCGCCGGGGCGGGGCGGGGCGGGGCCAGGGGCCACGCAACAAGCGCCGGCGTCGCCCCACTGGGAGCCCCGCACGCACGCGCGCCGCAGGCCGCGCTGGACGCCCCACGGGAGACCAGACAGAGCTGGGAGGTGGCGGGGCGGCCTTAAAGGGACAGTCGCGCTGGCCGCGCTAGAGTGGACGGGGCGGTGTGCGCTCTCCAGTGCGTTCCACTGTTACTAGTATTTGGAGGTTATTTGGGTTATTGCATGATGATTATTTGCAAAGAACTGGACTGCTGTCAGGTTTACAAGGCTCTTTCACGCGTGTTGCCTTGTTAGCGCCTGAATGGCCCGTCTGACCTATCTTGGAAGCAGGTTATTATCTCGCTATTAAGCAGTGATGTGTAGCCTACCAACCTTAAAATCACCCTGAGGGTGGGTGGCCGAGTGAGTGAGTGGAAAGGTTCCAGGGCCCCCACCTGCAGCCACTCGGAGTCGGGTACAGCAAGGGTTGGGCTGGCGCGGGTGTTTTAATGAGCATTCCCCAGTGATGGCTCAACACTCGGGAAGTACCCACAAGTCTCAAGGTTCAAATGCTCAAGTTCAGAGCGAGGACTGGCAGAGGCAGACACGGAGTCCTGCCGCGCTCCCAGCATTGCCTCGGGCTGATCGTTCCAAGTGAGCAGTCAGTGCACCCGGCCACCCAAGCCTATCTGTGGCTTATGGCTTCTGTGTTTACAGAGCTCAAGGCCCCTCCACGGCGGGACTGTGGCTTTTTATCTTTGTGCCCCAGGGCCTTGAGTCAAGTGCTTGTCTCAGAGGTGCTTGGTTAATGGAAAGCCAATGATAGAGACCCTGGACGCACAGTCCTGCCTGCTCCACCTTGTTCTAGGCAGGTGGGATAAGGACACCCCGCCCCACTTCCACCTCGAATCCTGCTTCTAATAGGTTTTCAGCAAAAGTACGCCCAAGAACAGGACAAGTCTGAAACATCTCAAAGGAGGCCAGCCCAGCTGCCCTCCCCATCTGCGCACACCCTTGTGGGGTGCAGGACGGGGAGGGGAGGGTCACCGCCATCTGCAGCTGGCGTCTTACGCTGTCTTCCTTGTTCCACCAGGTTTCTCTCTTGCCCCCTCGTGTTCAGGCTCACTGGGCATGGTACTGCCCCCTCTCTTCTTGCTCGTTGTCTCCCACGCGGAGAAGGAACTGGAAAAGCAAACACTGCCTCCGCAGCAGAGCCCCTGTGTGGGCGGCTGCAATGGCAACACCGCAGGCCGACCCAGGGCTCTGCAAGGGGCCAAGGGGGGAGGAAAACTAGGGCAAAGGGAGAAGGAAGGAAGGGTGGGGAGGAGAAAGACAAGAGCGAATGGGAAGAAAGCAGACACCTCTAGGTAAGTCATGGCGCAGGCACCACCCTCCCCATGGCCTTCCTGAAGACCCAACGCCCGTCACATCATACAAGGACTTCTGTGTAGCTGTGTTCAGCGCTAAGACCCCCACCCCGAAATCCCTAGGAGTCACCCATTGGAGACCACCTGAGAGCTCCTCACCGTCTGTGACATTGCTCTGCCCCTGCACGCAGGCCTCCCCACCGCACCTGTTGGTCTCGCTGCAGTCCCGGCTCAGAGCCCTTGGCCCTGCGGTCCTCCCAACCTGGAATGGCCTCCCCACTGAGCCATAACAACCTTTCCGGGGCTGCTCCTTCCACTGCATTGTGGCACTGTGACTGAGCCTCGGTTGGGCGTTCACTTCCTGCTGCTTCGGGTCTCTCCTCCCTTGGTACATGCTTCTCCTCTTCCCCCAGCTTCTCCTCTTCCCTTCTGCCCTCCTACCTGACACTCCACTGGCCTGTCCTATCAGAGCTGAGCAAAAGCTGCTACGTTCTGCTCTTTGTACATAACAAAATGAAGATGGTACTTGTTGGCTTGGGATACAACTTGTTTTCAATGCCACTGAAGGTATTTCCCAGAGGAGGCTAGGAGGGGCACGGGACACGGTAGTGAACACACTGCGTGGGACACTGTGTCCCATAGTGGAGAGTCTGGCTTTGAGTCCCAGTTCTGCTTCCACTCAGGCTTCCTGCTAACGCAGCCCAGGGCTCCAGAGCGTGGGTTCCTGCAACCCATATGGGAGTCAGCAGTTGAACTCCAGTCTCTGTCTCCCACTTGGACCAGCCTGGCCCTTGGTGTCCCTTGGAGAGCAAATCTGCAAACCAAGGATCTCTTTCTCATTTTTTCCTCTCTATCAATCTTTCCTCTCAAATCAATCTTCATTTCTTTCTTCCTTTCTTTTTCTTTTTTAAAGATTTATTTTATTTCTATTGCAAAGTCAGATATACGGAGAGGAAGAGAGACACAGGGGAAGATCTTCCATCTGATGATTCACTCCCCAAGTGACCACAACGGCTGGAGCTGAGCCAATCCAAAGCCAGGAGCCCAGAGCCTCTTCCAGGTCTCCCACACAAGTGCAGGGTCCCAAGGCTTTGGGCTGTCCTCCACTGCTTTCCCAGGCCACAAGCAAGGAGCTGGATGGGAAGCGGGGCTGCCGGGACTAGAACCGATGCCCATAAGGGATCCTGGCACATTCAACGGAAGGACTTTAGCTTCTAGGCCACCGCACCGGGCCCTCTTCCTTTGTTTTTCTTTTTTCCTCCTTCCTTGCTCTTTTTTTTTTCTTCCTTCCTCTTTTTCTTCTTTTTCTCTCTTTGTCTTTCTTTCTTGCTTGCTTGCTTTCTTCTTTTTCCTCTTTTCTGTTTTTCTGCCACCATTGTTGCACAGCCAGTTAAGGCACTCCTTGCATCCCGTATGGGCACCAGGTCAAATCCCTGCTAATGCACTTAGAAAGCAGTGGAAGATAACCCAAATGCTTGTGCCCTTGCGCCTGCATGGGTGACCCAGAAAACATTCCTGGCTTCTGCCTTTGTGTGGGCTTCACCTCCTTTGCCACCATTTGAGGAGCAAACAAGTGGATGGAAGACCGCCTTGTCTCTGGCACGTTCTCTTGCACTCATTCTGCCTTTCAGATAAATAGGTAAATAAAATATTTTAAAACATTGTCTTAAAAAATTTCGGGCCTGGTATGGCAACCTACCAGTTAAAGTCCTTGCCTTGAACATGCCAGGATCTCATAAGAGCGCCAGTTCTAATCCCAACAGCCCCGCTTCCCATCCAGCTCCCTGCTGGTGGCCTGGGAAAGCAGTGTAGGATCACCCAGAACCTTGTGGCCCTGCACTTGCATGGAGATCCAGAAAAGGCTCCTGGCTTCAGATCGGCACAACTCCAGTCGTTGCAGCCTCTTGGGGAGCGAACCAGTGGACAAAAGATCTTGCTCTCTGTCTCTCCTCCTCTCTGACTTTCCAATAAATTAACAGCCTTGCAGAGACATGGCTCACAGACCACCAGTTCGCAGCTAAAATGCGCAATCACACAGTTAAGGTATAAAAGTATAAATTTAGAGGGAGTGGCACATGCTGTAGTGGAGGGGGACTGCAACCCGGATACAACACACTTAGGATCCAGCTTCCTGCTCAAGGTCCCTGGGAGCAGCGAGTGCTGGTCCAAGTGCTTCGGTTCCTGCCGCTTTCCCAGGCCATTAGCAGGGAGCTGGATTGGAAGTAGAGCAGCTGGGACTCAAACCAGTGCCCAGAGGGGATATCAATGCCAAAGACAGAAGCTTAGCTTGCTGCGTCACAGCCCAGTTCCAGTAGTTCTTCTTTTTTTTTTTTTTCAAAAGGCGTTACTGCGCACCAGTTCATTTTATCCTCGCAACAGTCCTGGAAAATGGAAAAAACATTATCATCCCTCACTTTGAACTGTAAGGAAGCTAAGGCCGCAAGCAGATAACGGGCTTGTTTTATCTCCTGCAGGAGTTAACTGAAGTTTCATGTTTCTTTTCAAGATTCCTCGGACAGCGAGTGACAGGCTTTGGCACAGCAGTGAAAAATGCCACTTGGAACATCCGCAGTGTCAGATACACTTTTTTTTTTTAAATTGTTATTGTTGTTTTTTGGATACAATTTAGTTGGTGCTGGGTTCTCCCTCCCCCCTTGCCCAAGTTCCCTCCCCTCTCCCTCTGTTCTCCCCTCCAGTTTCACAATGTGTGTCTTTTGTTAATTTTTCCAAGGTCAGTTGCACTTTAAAAAAATATATTTATTTTGTTTTATTTGAAAGGCACAGTTTCAGAGAGACAGGGAGAGACAGAGGCACAGACAGGCTTTTCCATCTGCTGATTCACTCTTTAAATAGCCATACTGGGCAGGGCTGGGACAGACCCAAACCAAGGGCTGCTTCTGGCTCTTCCTTATGGGTACAGGGGCCCAAGGAACTGGATCGTCTTCTTCTGCTTCTCCTAGGCACATTTAGCAGGGAGCTGGATCAGAAATGGACCAGCCAGGACTCAAAGCAGTGCCCATATGGGACGCCACAGACCACAGTAATACCCACAATGCTCCTGCACTCCCCAGCTCCATTTTTTATCTGTATTCTGCTGATGTACACCTGGAAGGCAGGAAGTAAAGTGGCTTCCTACCACCCGTGTGGGAGATTTAGGTTGAGATTTGGGCTCCTAACTTCAGCTTGGCTAGCTAACTAGCTATTGTAAGAGTGAACCAGTGGATGGTTCTCTCTCTCTCTCCATCTTTTTTGCTTTTCAAAAATTTTGAAAATTTTGACGAAAAAAATTTTGAAGCTTAAAAAAGATTCACTAAGCAGCCTTGAAAGCCCATGGAAGGGTAAACCCACTTGAACCCAGGGGAGGTAGAGGTATTCAGAGTGCCCCTCCCATATACAGTCAACATCCAGCACAGGTGGCCTGGGTGGGACAAGGCCAGTGTGAGCTGGAAGAGGAAGTCCTAAGTGTCAGCGTTATCTGATGACATGGGCCTGCACTGTGACCCAGGGCATCCCGCTCAGAGCTTGTCAGAACTTGAGAGTCAGGCATGGTTAGCCAATCCCTGCTGGC